TCAACATACTGCGCGGAACTAGAAAATCTCACGAGTGGTGAGGCGACAAGTTTTAGCGTGCTACCATCTCCAGAGTACTCGACGATGCTGATGGATCCGTCGGAGGAAAATCGAGACGTAGTTCTACACACAGTCAACTGCGAGATCGCATACGCAGCTACATTTTACCCAATCGCTCTTGAAGATGCCAACAGTGCAATAGCATGAAAGAAAAGGCAAAACTTGTAGTACATTTGGTATGTCTACTACTTTTGAGATTCTTAAACACAACTTCATTCAATGTTTGTGCAGAATGAACATGAGGTGCCCCTAAGCAGTCTAAACGAAACCTTAGATGGTTCCAGAAACAGCATCAGCCACTGTGATTCCAGGCCCTTGTTGTGACTTAAGCCAGCACGTGCCTCCGTTATAGTTCGTCCAGGTGAACGCTCTGCACCCTGATCTCGCGCGGCAACTATCACAGCATCCAGACGCCGCAGCACTGGGCGAATTGCCGATGTCATTTCCATTGTAGTCGACGTTATTCACCAAAGTGCACGTAGGTGACGTCGAACTGATCTGAGCCGACCTCGCTCCAGTCTTCGTTGTGAAGGCCCCCTTTACACTCTTCAGCCAGCACGTGCCAGTGTTGTAGTTCGTCCAAGTATAAGCCTTGCAGTCACTTCTAGCCCTACAGATCGAGCAACAACCTTCAGCTGTGCCACTAAGTGCATTTCCGACATCATTGCCGGTATAGTCGACATTTTCTTCGATCGTTGTACAGGTAGACGTAGACCCTCCGTTGAGCGTAGCAGAGATAACACCGCTTTTGCTCTGTGTACTGCCCTTTGCGCTCTTAAGCCAACAAGTACCGCCATTGTAGTTGTTCCACGAGTACGCTCTGCAGCCACTAGTCGCAGCACAGATAGAGCAGCATCCACTAGCTGTAGAACTCGTCCTACTGGTCAGATCATTGCCGATGTAATCGATATTATTCTCTGCAGTCGAGCAGGTAGCACTGGTGCCAGTGTTGGCAGCAATATAAGTCTTAGCTTGATCTGCAGCCTCTCGACCAATGTACATGACGAAGCCGTATGGATTGACCGTACCGTCGCGCATGGCACTAGCATCAGCTACAAACACGTTAGTCATCCCAATGACACGTAGTCTCTCGTCAGCGCAACGTCTAGTGTCGGCTGAATTGCTTGATGCGTAGCAGCTACCACCAAAGTGGTGCGTGATTAATCCCCGATTGGCTGCAACCCAGTTTGCTACCGACGCATCATCAGAGCCGGCCGAAAGAAACGTGGCGCCTTGAGCTACCATAGCACTAACTGTTCGTTGGGCATAGGACTGCAACGCAGCAAGATCACGACTAGTGCCGAAGTAGGGCGTGCCTTCGTTGAACGCTCTCCAGTTGGCATTCCCATCGAAACCCGAGGCTGCCCTTGCCTCAGGATTGTTGATGTACAGCGCTAGTGTGAACGCATTGCCACGACTGTAGAACTCTCCAAAGCCGTTTGTTAGTGCAGTTGACTGGAACTCATAAGTACGACCTTGAACATCGTAGTTCTCATAGCTGATAAGAGTCGGTCCTGCGCTGCTCCAGGGTCCAGTGAAGCCCTGGTTCATGTACTGGTTGATCGCCCAACTCGGTCTGTTCTTGTACTGGAAGGAGCTCATTTGTGGGTGTGAGAAGGACGCAAACACAACGTTTGTATCGAAGAGATTCCGCCCCACGTTGGCATTCGTGACCCAACCTGCTGCCTGGGAGACACCAGGGAATCCATTGCGTCCATTAAGCAGATTGAGCTGCGAGCTAGGACCGATGCCGCTTTGGATCAGCACCTTTGGCGTACTCAACGCTCCCGCAGCCATAAGTACAGTACCTCGAGTCGACAGTAGTGCTTGAGTTCCGCCATTATACACTACACCCGTGGCTTTTCCACCGGAAGCTCTCAAGATATAGTCGACCTTGGCTCCAGTTAGAAGCCTCACATTGCTCCTGCCGCTCATTTGCCCCCAGAAGGCATTGGCGGGCGTATCACGTTTGCCGTTTTTGAAGGTGAACGGGGCATGACCAAACGTCCTGCTCTTGCTATTGCGTGCTGCAGCGTCGTTGATGCTTCGTTCAGTATATCCTCGTGCCAGCAGTGCCCTGGACACGATAGAATATCCTTCCTGAGTGTACCAGACACCGTCGGGTGATGGTCTGTCTGTATGACCATGAAGTTGTTCATTCTCGTTCATCTTGGAGACCATTTGAGCCGCTGAGAACGGCCACTGCATGTTGGTGACGTATGAGTCTGGCGGGCGGAAGTAGAGCGCTGCGTTGATGGAGGAGCATCCTCCCACGAGTTTACCGAGCCACATGTAGGCGTCACTAACCCACTCGACACGGTACTGTTCGTTTGCGCCATTGTAGATGATATTGTCGTATTCACCGGGGATGTCGAATTTCGTGAGACCTCTACCTTGAGCGTAGTCTGGGGAGTCCGTCCCACCCGTAGCAGTCAAAGATCTGGGACCAGCTTCGAGGATCAATACGGAGACACTCGAATCTCGTGACAAATACTCAGCTGCTACGAGACCACCAGGCCCGCTACCCACGACGATGGCATCGTAGGTTTGCGCGGTGACAACAGAGGTGAGGGCCAACAGTGCACCAGCCAAGCAATTGAGGCTGCTTAGACGCATTGGTGGCGACCAAGAAGGACTTTGTGGTCGTTGCAGGAGGAAGCGAGTTCTGGAATGATGATTTCTCCGATATTCAGAAGGAAGGAAGGCCTCGCTTCTATGATGCTGAACGGCCGTCACAGGGAAGTCGTGACTCTACCGTACGGCAACCAGTGGGGCGATCTTCAAGCAGTTGCATACTTGAACCCATGTGGTTGGCCTTTTCTACAGACACGAACAGAAAAAAAGTTTGCGTCTCTGAACTCTATACCCAGATTGTAAAAGGATAATCATCAAGTTACAGTTTTTTTTTGTAGAGGCACCGTTACTGGCAGATGCAACGCTGTGCCGCTTTGATTTTTTTTTGAGCAGATTCAATGGCCTTTCGTGATTGCCGTTGCCTCATGAACTTGGCTTCGGTTTGAACTTGGTTAAAGACATCATTGTGGAATGAATATAGCGCTAGTTGGCTCGTTTGGGTGTATCCCTTCCATACAAAATCTGTAGGTCCGGACAGAACAGTGAAATCTGCCATACCTTAGAACCACGCCCGGATTTTCCTATCAATTGGAACCAATAGATACTTACGCGTCAGTATAGGTGTTTCTGTACTTAAGTATGCTATCCTGGTAGTGGTTAGGTTACGAAGTACGTACAACCCAATACTTTTTTTAGGACTATAATAATTCTCAAGTTTCATAAAGTTAATTATTCGAAAACTTCATCTTTGGATATTGTTAAAATGTGCAGCATTGTCCGCGCATTGTGATGGCATACCTCTACATCAGATTGTACTACCACACTGAAACTCGCCGACTATAGTGGTCGACTGTTGAGAATATCCTGTGCAAGTATGCAATACCAACATATTAAAAAAAATCCGGAAAAAATGATTTCTAAAAAAAAGTGTGTCGCCCCGTTCAAAGCTGTTTACCCATTCCCCATTCCCTCCCTCGTCGAATCACAGCCCTACATTTATTGAGTTGCTGCGGGGAGATAAACAGGCAAGCGCCCACTTGTGGCACCCCCACCCCCGTCCCACCATGCCGCTTCCACTACTACTTCGTCAAACACTCCAACAAATTTTTGACAAATGCCGCAGGTATGCCCAGTATTGTATAAAATGGCAGCGTGTGTTATGTTGGCCCAAATCTACTAAAAATTATACAGCGAATGGCATCGCTACGAAAGGGAAGGAGAAAATGAGTGGCATACGGTCACGTGCTAGATGATAGCAACCCATGGACCGGCGTATTTAACAATTCTGCAATTCCGGGTTCAAGATGCCACAAACAGGTTTGTGTGTGGGCGCGAGATTCTGGTGCTGTGTTGTCTTGCGTGGCGATCTGTCGTAGCAAATACCACGGCGTTCGTTCTGTTTTTCACGCTACATGTCGAACGCATATTAAGAGTACGATGTAAATTCCCGTACTATGTTGTGGTTTGGGGCTATACTGGCACTCTGCCACAAATGTTGAGGCTCTGATACCTCTCTGTGGCTCAAACGCTACGTTGTCACTTGGATATCTACGTTGCGCCTTTGACCGCTATATTGCGACGCTAGAAACTATATTGTGAGCAATGTTGTGACACTGGTGGATGCAGCACGTATGCTGTGATTCTTGTGGCTATGTTGTCTGCGACTTGTGGCTTTAGAACCTACGTTGTATCTTTCACCGCTACATTATGAGCTTCACCTTGATGTTTTAAGTTTTATCAAATCATTGTAATTAGCGTACATCTAAGCTTTCATTTGGGCACATGTGCCTATTTTTTTTTTTTTTTTTTTTTTTTACTATCCATGAGCAGTTGGCAAAAGCAATATAGGCCAGCTCCAGTGTTAATCGTTACCCTATATTAATTCGGAAAACAACGCACCTTCAAAAACATAGTGCGCCTCGTTCATATTCGCCTGTAATTTTGGCAGCGGTAGAGGCTTTCTTGAACAAGACAAATCAAGGCACGGCACGGCAAGCCAGAAGTAGACAACGCTTGGCGTACTAACTCTGCCAACTAGAATACGAATGGATCTAGGTCCAATGCGTTTTGCAGCGGCATAACAGAACGTGGGCTGCTGGCATCGGAGAGAGAGATTGAGGCTGAGTCACTTAGAGCTGAGTTTCCTGGAGCTGAGCTCTTTAAGCTAGAACCGTGGAGAGAGCTGACATTGTCATCTGTGCATATATGATCGATTGGGTATTGTATGTCAGGCGATGGGTAGTCTCCCCGACAACACCAGTAGATAATCGTTGTGCAGACGCCCCACCTAAAGTCGTTGCTACCTGTCGTGCGGTTGAGTGAGAGTTTAGGTCTTGTAGTTTAAGTTGTTGGTGTTGAGATTTGAGGGCGGGGTAGAAGGTGTATTTAATAATGGATAACTTTGCTGTCCCTAGCATGCATGTGTTCCTTGGCTCTCTAGTAGAGCACAATGGCTTCTTACTGTTTCGGCGTATTTCTGTTTCTCTTTTGTGCCTATGTTGTCTACCCTGCTTCTTTTCTGTGTGTTTATGGCACAAACATTTTTATCTAACTAAATGTAGGTTCACTGTAACTTCATGCATTCAATGCAGCGGTTTCACTGATATTCAGCCTCTGGCTTTGAGTATGTAAGCCAGGGCATATGTGCCCATGGACTCTGGCTTGCATTCTCACAGGCCAGAGGTAGGCATGACACTAACCGCGTTGTTCATGATCTTATTCATCATAAGCTGCAACGAGAGGAACGTTTTGTTGAGTATTTTCATCGTAGTGTCCGAAAACGCAAGCGGTAATCGTTTAATTAGCCCATCGGTGGTTCGTGGTATTCACTAGAGGTCTTAGCTGTATGATGTCGTAATCCAATCCGAAAATACTTGGACAGCTTTATTTCGTGGAACCATTTGCTTTCAGGCAGAGTTTTAACTGCATTAGGAATGTAATAGAGTGGATTTACAACCACGGTGTGAAACCCTGTACGTCAGGAACGAACATGAGTTCGACGTTGAAGGACGGCAACGAAGAACATCAGGCGGAGACGTCGAAGATGGCAACGGACGGCGGAGATCGGACGAAGGACTGGCGACCGTGACCAGTCGCAGGCTTGAAAGTTGTATGGGGCGACAACCACCGTACAACCGAGATCTTTGATCTGAGAAGTCGCCATGAGGGGGCG